TGTCACGGTAGGCTGGTGAATGTTCCAGTGGCAGCAAAAGGCAATGGGTGTTGGTGGCATCTTGCTCATGCTTGTTGAATAAAGGCATGTGGCAGATAGGCCTTTGGTAGAAGGGGTAGTGGAGAGAAATGAAAGTGTTGGGGTGATGGCAGGACTTGAACCTGCATTCCTTGCAGTCAACTTTTTGTCAGCATATGGGGCTATCGTTGGTGCTACCACTATCGTGCCTCATCATGAAGAGGTAGTGGAGAGAAAGATGAATTGGAAGGGTGTTGGGGTGATGGCAGGACTTGAACCTGCACTCCTCCGGCCTGCCCATGGACTTATGGAGGCTACCATTGGCGCTACCACTATTGCACCTCACCATCCCAAAAGGTAGTGGAGAAGAGAAAAAGAAGGAAGGGTTGGGGTGACGGTGGGACTTGAACCCACAGTCCTCTGGCCAGTCCCATCTGGGCTTATGGAGGTCACCATTGGCGTTGCCACTATCGCACTTGTCATCCCAAAAAGGTAGTGGTGAGAAGAAAAAGGAAGGGTTGGCTTGACAGCGGGACATGCACCTGCACTCTTGCATCTCTCCAGCCAGTGCAGCTCTGGGCTTACAGGGTTGCGGTTGATTGGCATTACCACGGTGGCCACATCGCCCTCCCTTCAGATGTTAGAGGCCTAATTAGTTTTAAACAGGGGCACCGCATGAAGGTTTAGGCCTGTGCCGGGTGTTCTCTGTGGTAGCAGAACTCCCCCTCAACTGACATCCATCGTCGAGGCCCAAGATCCCAGGTTGGGCCAGGCGGTGTTGGTAAACCCTGGCACGTGATTCCTTTTTGCACCTATCCCGACATTTTGGAAAGATGCACCCCAAATGTACCTTCAATCCTCTTCTTTTTGCTTGATTTTTGGCATGATTGTAGATGTATCGTCTGTTTATATTTTGGCCTACCGGATTTTGGAAATTCTTCCTCAATCAAAAGTTATTCACCATACATAAAATCGCATTTTAACATATTGCTTTATAATTCAATGATAACTACATATGAACCCATCAAACTTCGATGGAATGCTAAAATAGCATTGGACTGACTCTTTTCTCAGTTATTACCTTGGTACAACTATATATTATATGGAGCTTGGGCCTACTACATCCATTGTGGCTTCCGAGTCACAGAATGTACCTTTCCTCTTTTCCGATTGGGCTCAAACTTTGCGAGATTGCTCTATAGGTACGAATGCAGGTTTCGGCCTAGTGGATTTCCGAAATTCTTCCTGGTGCATGAGAAAAGCTCAAGAAGATCCCGCACATTTTGTGATATTCCATAATCATCCATAAAACCGCTTCAAAATGGGCTCACATCCTGTGCGGTATCTCAATATCATTATTAAGTAATAATTATGGCTGTATTGTCAAGAGGAATTGTTTTTGCATGAGGATGACGGCCATTTTTTTTGTATCACGTGGTTACAATATTACCTTCATTTGCTGACCCCCACTACCTTGCTTCGGTCCATTCTCTAGTTAGGTTCTTACCACCTGTTCCCATCCTTACGATTTGAATTTCACTGCATCGAATCCTATCACAGGACTCTGCTTACGCTGCACCCGACCTGTCCCTCCCCGCTTCATGGTAACTAACAATGTAAATGTATTGTCGCGACGGCCGGCCTGCACCTTCACCGTGGACTGTCACTCCCTACAGGATTGTTCGGCCCCGCGTTCAGGCACTGCACAACTGGGTACTAACTAAATTGAACGATGAAATCCTGGCGACACGGTTTAGACCTATAAATAGTTCTCTGCTTTCGAATTTCGGCTATGACTGACTGGTTCCTCTGTCCAAAAATCCGTCTCTAGTTGTTGTCAAGTACCTAAAGAAGGCAGCTGTAAAGAAGGGTTCTGGCCCTACGCACCAAAACACTGCGCCGCCTGTTCTGGGCTATATTTCAGGAAGTTAACCTTGTTGGATCGCCAGCGTGCTAATTGAATGCGATAAATTAATGCCCCAATCTGGAGAGTGGAATGGGACTATGACGTGATTCATGTGGCACGGTGGCTTGCCTAGTATACAGCCAAGTTGCTCAACTTGAACCCGAGTGATTACCCTCATTCGGTGGGGCGACCTGATATACTGTCCTGATGGAGATTCAAGCTGCAGACTTTGAGCACTTGTATTATCCCCCCAACCTCCGCGTCCCCTTGGCTCGTAGTTCAAGAATGTCTAGACACTGCTCACTCATCGGAGCTAGGAGATGGATGCCGCATTCGAGGGCTTGAGGCTGACGGGGGGAATGACGTTTCGAGATCGCATATTAAGCAAGTAATTCGAGTCCGCGCCGTCCTCTACAAATGATTCTTTGCACATCCCGCGCTCTTTGGCTCGCTCTGTTTCCTGAAGCTATAATGTCGATTATGAACACACCAACACCTCTGGCCTCGCCACATCAGTTGTCGGTGCTCGCACTGCCAAACTCGCTCGGCAACGCAAACGGCTAATACAGAAGGACCAAAGATTTGGCCACTTGGAAAGCTTTCGGCATCCTCGTCCCTGCCTACCTGCTATGTGTATTCGTGGAGGCCTCATGGCGGTGGTGTATTATCACTAAGTCTAGAGGGCCAAGTCCCATGAGAGGTGTCTTTAGTGTGCCTGCTGATAATCCCCTGGGGAGCGCAGAAAGAAGCGACGCTGGTGCGTATCCTGCCGTTCCTACTCTATTCCCTGCATTAAACTGGCTACTGTCTTACCAGACGGTGCAAGCGGAAGCCATCACTCCGTATCGAAAAACCACTCCCCTTTCATTCATCCAATGGATGGCATCGAAGGCCCTCCCTGTCTCGGTGTCATTCCAATACGTCATCTTCCTCCATATCGCACATGCAGCCAGTTTATTCTACGTGAGGAGCCTAGACATTGTGGTGCCTGTGGCTTCTTGAGGTGAGTGAGTAGGCCCAGGAAGCGAAACAGTTTCTGCTTCAGTCCGGAGCATCATTCCCCAAATATCGAGCGTTTCCAGTACTATCCCTCCACCCAGCGGAAACGGCGAAAATCTCCTTTACACTGAAAAAAACTGGTTGGTTCTCATCACCTCATTGCTTGGGTTTTGGCAGGGACTGAGATGTTCAACGGAGCATAATGGCTGAGAGGGGAGCTACACCTGAGAGCCTTCGAGCATGTGTTTGGGATGGGTGCATATAGCCTAAGTCATTATCAACCGCATAAGTGCCAGCGAGATGTTTGGGCAACTATTTCCCTTGCGTCTCTCCGTGAGCCAACTTCAGATGCGAAAGATGAAGTGAGTCTGCTAGCCGACTCATCCGCTGATTTTCGGAGTAGGTGATCGGATTTAATTCTATTTCCGCTACATGTGACAAGACAACTTATGTATTATGTAAACGTGACTGTGACTTTACAAATCCAACTGAGTCATATTTTGAAATTGCATATTCGCCGGTGCCTTACCTGTTACGTCTAGTTGACACTTAATTTGAGAGTGACTGGGCAGCCTGTTGCCAAACGCCTCCTTCAATGCACACCGCCCTGATCGCTAGCCACATCGACACCATGCCCAGTGATCCTGAATTCGGGCTTCTGGTTCAAGAAGCCTCCTGATGACCGGTCGCGGGGTCTCAACTCCCTGTTGGAATACAAGTCATGACGCCGGCCCCGGCCGGCAACATGCACCCGTGCACTTTGCGGCACCGCCTCTTTGACGCGACTGCGCGTCCCCCTGCAGCATAGCCTCGGTGTACTATTAAGACACAGTAGTCATCAGTCATAATAATAACTTAACCCTTTCGGTCTTGACCTTTCGTCTCTCGTTCTTGTTCGAGTGTAGCTGCTGAGGCGCTACAATCATATCGGGCTAGTCATAACAACATACCCCCTGCCTCCAACAACTACGGCAGCCCCGCACGACTGCATTGTTGCACGCTTACCGCCCTTCTACTTCCTGGTGGCTCCTTAGGGGATAATACCATGGAGCAACGAGCATCTTTTGGAGATAAGTTACGTAGGCTTTTCCGGAGAAGTCCTAGCCCCAGTCCCGCCCGCAACCAACCAAGCATATCCCATGTCCAGACATCCACGAACGACTCGCGGTCATCGCTGTCCACTCCCACCGAAATGAACACCAATCTCCCACGATTGATGGGCAATGCACTTGCCACTGGTAACGATAACCCGAGCGTCCACATGCAACAAGCACTTGGATCGTCAGCCCCAGCAACTGAGTCAGTGCCAGCGGAGTCAGTGCCTCGTAGATCCGATGGCAATCTGAGGAAAACGATCATCGGCACCACCAAACTACTTCTCGAAAATGCAGCCGCTGGTCTCAGGTTTGTCCCCATCGCTAATCTTGATCAGATCCCAAATACACTTCTGAGATGGATTAAAATCTATGAGGTTTGTGAACCGTCTTGATGATCTTGAGCGTAATTTCCTCACGCACGTTGCATGTAGGATGTCAAAGGCAATACCGATGATCTCAAGCAGTTATGCGTCGTGATTGAGCAAGCGCAAGACTCGGTGCTCCAGCCCCTCTATAAGTGGACTGGAGAAGTCCCTCCCGAGCTTGACAGCCTAGTGCAAGAAATTTGCGTGTACGTGTAGGCTCGTTTTCCTATTGTTCGCATTCACCCATTTCCTTTGCAGGGCCTTGGAGAAACAGGTGGAGGACATTAAAGCGGTCCAGACAAAGAATATCGTCAAGAGGACCATTCTAGCGTGCGAGATAGTACGGCAAATAGCCAGTATGAAAAGGTGCCTGGATGATGCTATCCATCGACTCCAGGTTTGCATGCTTCAAGATTGCTTGAATAATCTAAACCTGACTGACCACGTCCGCCGTAGCTTAGGATATCGACTTTAACCCTGCTTCGCACCGAGTGTTTATCGGTTCATTGTATGTATCTATCTACATGCATTAAGACTGCCTAATCACTGATACTTCTAGCTGAACTATCAAGGCTCGGGCGAGCCCCAGCCGAGCACACTTGTGTGACGAGCAAATCAGAGTGCCTTCCAGGCACACGCGTCAAGATACAAGAGTTCCTAATGAAGCGCCTAGGGGATGCCGAGAACCGGTTTGTTTGGCTACGGGGATCTCCTGGGACGGGAAAAACTGCGATCTCTATGAGTATCGCGTCGACTTTTGAGAAAGAGGGCATTCTAGCGGCGTCATACTTTTGGGATAAGAACCGGTCAGGATTGGGCTTGGATTCTATCGAATTGTTCCCTACCACTCTTGCCTGCCAACTTGCGTCCTTCAATGAGGCCTTTAAATTTTCACTCATCAAACACCTTCGAAAACCGGCTTTGGACTCTGTTCAGCATTTCCCTCTGCAAAAACAAATCAATACTCTGATAATTGAGCCTATGCGTGGCTTGAAGGACATATGGTCTTCGGGAAGGGACCGCATCGTTATTGTCCTGGATGGGCTTGATGAGTGCGGGGATCAGGAAACACTCGGGTCCCTGATGGAACTAGTGCTTGCCTTTCAGGAGCTGCCACCGATATTTTCTGTCCTAGTTAGTTCTCGTCCTGAGCCAGAAGTCATTTCGGCTTGGAATGAAGCTCGGGCCAAGGGTCATGTCATACTGTGCACAGATTTGGACAAGGTCGTCATGGAAGAAACTTTCCAGACGGTCCGCCGTATGGTGGAAGAGGGCCTTCAGCACCTCTTTGACAAGTATTCGTGGAAACCAGACAAGAAGGAACTCGATGCTTTCGCTCGGGCTTGTCGGGGGTTACCTGTAATGGCCTCTATCTGGGTTCGCGATGTCATCCTGCAGACGCAGCATGGCCGCACCTTACAGTCTGTGTTCCGGGAGTTGGTAACCCTCACTGATGCACCTGCCAACCTCAACTGGGAGTACTTGCGAATTCTTCGACAAGCCTACATGCTGGATTCATCTGATATTCACCCAGATGTAGCCAAGAAGTATCGCTTAGTGGTTGGCATGATTGTTGCAGCACACGAACCGATTACCATCTCTTTTATGTCACAGCTTTTCAAGATCGGCGACGACGAGATCCGTGCGACATTGGAACCAATCAGCTCCATCGTCAACCTCCCCTTAGGGAACAAAGAGGCTGTCACTTTCTATCATGCAACAGCAAGGGAATTCATCACAGGGGAACCAATTGGCGATGTGAAGGACAAGATATTCTTCATTGATGATGTGAAAGGGTATTTCATTGGATTGCCACTCCTTCGACTCTTCAACAATTATTGTGAGCAGGATGCATTCGGAATACCTACCACTCCCCATTTAGGAGATGAAAGAATATGGAAGGAATTTATGGCGAAAAAGGACGATTATCACAGGCGCTTCTCCTATGTTATTAAATACTTGCTCAAGCACTTGGACCCTTCGCAACTTTTTTCACAAGAATCCATTGAATTGCAGAACGAGTTTAATTCCTTCATCACGCAAAAATACATCTTGACTTTCATGCACTTGCAATGGTGTGCTGCATTTCCTGCCGAATTACTCCAATGCAATGTGAGTATAAATGATTCCTCTGGTACTTTTTTCTGATCTCTTTTTTGATAGAATCACCATTCAATCCAACTTCTGAGAGGCTTGCATGAGGCAGCTGAGACTGCTGCGGATGCACCATGGGAACTCTATCGATCGAAGCTTCCTTTCGCCCCACCCTCGTCATCCCTTTACAAACAATATGGCCACCTCGCTGATCCTGTCCGGATTTTCTCTGCCTTCGGCGAGTTCTCTGGTGGCACCATTCCATTAAGCAGGGATCTGCTCATCGCCCAAGAAGTCATGCAGGCAAAGTTGAGTGAACTACCAGAGGTGGTCAATCAATGGGGAGGTAAGGCAATCAATTATGAAGCTGAATTCCACGAACCCGATGTTCGCAATGGTATCGTGACATGCGCTGCACTCTCCCTCGATGGTCGCTATATTGCACTCGGATTTGGCAGCGGAATTATCGAGGTGGCCGATATCAACCACCAGCGCACAATCTGCCGATTGCAGCACAGTCCAGCCAATCTCCCGACCTGGATCGAATTTGTTCATGGTAGCTGCCGAGTCGTCACTGAGGATAATGATGGGAATGTAATGATCCTCAGTGATGGTATGACCCCTGTGAATCTTGGCACTCTTCCCACCGGTCCCTATCCAGCTGGAACCACAGTCTCAGATAACGGATTGTTTGTCGTGCGAGTCCCACGGAATCTCGACAACCCTTGGTACAACAACATGATGCTCGTATCTGTTTCGGAGGCTCCATCCATTCAGCCTCTCACCTCTCCTCCTTTCTCCTCTGAATCTCATCTCTCATCTCATTGTGATGATAACCATTTAACCACTCCTCACTGTCGGACACTCGGTTTCTCTCCAGCAGCACGTTATGTTGGCGCTTTTGATGGGACCCGGGCCGTTACCTGGTCAACGGAATCATGCCAGTGCATTGCGGGTTATCAAGTGACGAATTTCAATGATCGGATCCTTAATCCTAATGTCCCTCTGATACGCTCATATCTTATCCCTGATCCTATATTCACCCGAGCCACTCTTCCCTTGGCAGAAGGCGACACAGGCGCTTGCGCGCATCATTCCGACGCGGATGGGGAGCATGACACTGATGAGTCCTGGATCAAGCGCACATTTTACGACCTCTCACCAAGCAACTTATTGGGAAGGGTTGGGCTTCACGATTTGCCTGCCGCAATGAGAACCTCACCAATCAATCTACCATTGTTGCAATCATCCGTGTGCCTGCATGGCAGAAATAACTTCGTGCTCCCATGGGACTATCGACCGATCGATTCCCAGCACGCCTGGTACGGTCACCGAGTGCCATATGATCCCCTGAAGCTTTACCGCCCTCAGTCCAGCAGGGATGGAACTCGATTCCTGGTACAGGGAGAGTCAAGGGCCCCAATTGTCGTGGACATTAGTCAAGTTGTCTAGCATTCGCCAGTGCGCTCTTTATCGTTTACTCGGTCGGCACTCTCTTGGCCATAAGCTTGATGACTTTTTACGCCGCAACACTGTTTAGGATTGTAGAGGGTCTCTGGTGTACAGGAAGCGGTAGCGCCAAAACTGCGGGTGAGGGGAGAATGAGTAAGCCGCAACACCCTTTCGAATAAAGGGTGAATGAAGTATTGCGGGCTTGTGATTCAGCTTATGGGATGCACGCACATCCGAGCCGCAGGCTGAAGGAGATGCTTAACAGTACTTCATGGATTTACATCGGTGGCATCACGCAGCCTTGCGATTGCACATCTCTTCCTCGTTTCGAATTTGCTTCTTGATATGACCTATTGCAATGCGGGTACGCGTGATCATAAGATGCGGGTGGATAGCATAGTACAACTAGCTAAGGGACACGGGATGGAGGCGGGATGAAGAATGGGAGTGTTAGCAACGAAACATGAATATGCCCTTCATCTTTACAAATCTGTCGAGCCATGGTACGAAATGGCTAGCCAACTTTTCAGGTGCTTCCGACCGAAGTTGAGCGTAGTTGTTTAAGCCGTATAGGTATGCGGTGAGTGGTGAATCGCAAATTTCAACTGAACTTTCATCTGCACATCGGCGATGTTTCCCTCCGAATGATAAGGCAAGAGCCGACTCGCCAAATTGGATACGCTGGATATGTCACCAATTAATTCCGATAAACGTGCTACCATGTTATACTCGAGTCATAGCCAACGAGCGTCCTGATAGCTAAAAGCTCGTTCGGAAGGATCAGTCGTCCCGCGCGGAAGATATTGGAAGGGGGTGCCACTGCCCATGCATGGCGAAAAAAAAAAGCGAAACTGGATTTCATGGGATGCAGAGCATGGGAAGATGATTCTTCGAACAGTTTCGGAGAGCATTCAGTCCGGATTCAGTTTGATGCTCGGATCAATAGTGTACGATGATATGGGTGAAGGGAATGAAGGGAATTGAGGGGTGAACGATAGGTTCATAAATGATGAATGCAAACTCGCCCACAGCTTCAGTACAATGAACAATTGGAAGGATCGTAAGATATCTCCAGTGACGGCGGCCGAACAGCTTGGTGCCAAGAGCTTCCACTAGATAGTCTATTGTTCTGACCTGAGCTGCTTTCGCAGTGAGTATCCTGACAGCTGGATCGTTGTCCAGGAGGGTTAGTCGTTCCGAGGGGGGAGACGTCCAGAGGCGAAAATAACTCGATTCAAAGGTAACTGGATCTCCAGATGAGTTGCGCACAAGGGGAGTTGCACTGCGGTGCAACCATTATCGATAAGGAGGAGAAGAAGCCACTGATCGATCAGCACACAGGTGCGGAGTGAATGAAACCGTAGAATGGCCGAGTCTGTCATTCCCAATCTTTAAGCATGTAAGCATGCGTGGTGTGCGGTCGGAAAACCAAGGGGATGTGGTGGGCGTAGGTGTAGGTTATTTGTGGCTTGTTAGTCAATTCGTGATTACATAATTAGTTGTGATTGCATTTGCGCCGCCGTTGCTCCGACGATTATCGCTCCACTTACTTACCACCTCGTGTACATGTATCGAAATTTCTCCTTACACCCCCAGGGAATATTCACTAGAGTGCTTGCGCTTCGCGCTTCGCTTGACTCTGCACAGCCCTTGTTTCCTTTCGCCTGTCCCAGCATGAATTTTTTTTTTCAGTTCGTTTCGCGAATATAAGTAGGCTATAAAAATATGTGTTTAATTGGAATGCAGACATCCGACAAACACAATCCAATTTTTCCAATCGTTCGGAGTCTGGAATTATTTAAAGGCAAAGCAAAAAAGGTGGTATGGCGACAAATCACAGTGGAACCAGCATACACCTTCACGGACCACCGTGCCCAAGGACAGACGATGGAATACCTGTGGTCAGACATAGGAACATCATCAAGGGGCACTTTTAATGCATGCGTGACATTGTCATGTGCAAGAGGAAGAAAAAGCACATGGTTAAACCGAGACTTTAAGGACAAGAGCCGAGTGGGAGCGGAAATGGTGGAAGGAAGGGACAGGCGAGATCACGTAAAAGAAAGCATGTAAAGAAAAGGAAGATGATGACAAATTTTCAGCGTCGCCAATTGCGTAATATCGGGAGTGGTTAGTGACTCTGTGTGCAGAGTAATGCCCATACCTACGTCTCCCAACCTCCCTTGCTCGACCATTGATCACAACGCGTTAGTGCGCAACCACACTTCAGTAATTACCCATCCTCTTGATCATCCAGCCTAGCCCGTTCAGCACTTCTCGGTCCAAGCTAGGAGCATAACCTTTGATCAGAGCGCTTCGTACTATTCTTGCCGGCCCAGTTTATTTCGATTCAGTTCATGCGCCTCGGTCCTCCTCTTTTCTGCCCCTGACGTATCTTCCTGCAACATCTCTCTCATCTCCTCTCTCGCTTGCGATTGTGGCAAGGGGAGTTCGTTATGTCATTGTTTGAACAGCTTTGAGATCCAAGCATAATGTGAAGGCGCGTCGAACTCTTAATATTGTGAGCGATCAACCTATTCTCTTTGTTCCTTGTTTGATATTTTATACAGATTGGCTTCACACCATTGGAAACATTCGCAACCTCCCTGACTCGGACTCCATGTTCAGTGAGCCCCCCAGAGATGACGTGAGCCGGCACCTGCACATTCTCCCTGGCACAACATTGGTTGAGACGATCGAAGCCCAAATAGATCGGCGACCATACGCAGCTACCTGTTCTTCGGCCCGTGCAAGTCAGATTCTTATCGCCATTCCTAACCCTTTATGATTCAACAGACTTTGCTGCCCTTCTCGCTATCATCACGGTTTGCCCTACTTGCCCTTGGTTTCAAGCGCGCTCTACGGTAACCAGCACTGCAATTCTCACGTATTGTGACCCAGAACCTGGACCAAGCAGTGCTTCCACCACGAATCGTCGCCGCCTCGGGCAGTATACAGCCCTGCATCCGGGAATTACTGTATGCTACTGTGCATACTCTTCCAACTGATCGTCTTTCCCACCAAAAATTCACTTTACATGAGGAATAGTAATCAAGGATGGAATGGACTCGCTTCGCGACCGTGCAATGCCTGGTTCTTGGCTGAAACAATTCAGTCCTGTCGATCTTCTCGTTAACACTTGTGCGGTTCTAAGTACAACGAATCGAATGAACTAGCGCTCTAATTGGTAAGAACGTGATAAACTAACGCCACGGCCAGAAGGGGACGTCGGAAGACATATATATTATTCATGCAGCGCGCAAGAGTACGTAACCCTGCTGGTTGCTCAGTTCGAACCCATTATTGATGGGAGCTTTCTGACGCTGGATGAGCAGATTCAAGCCATCTCCATTGTCGGCTTTAGACGCTAGCTGTACTGTCCCCAACCTCCGGGTTTCGTTCGTTCGCAAATGCCTAGACACTGAAAAGCCTGCTCGCTCATCAGAGCTAGGCTACTTCTGAGGGCCCAGTCGCTGACGAGGGGGGAAATGACATCTTGAGGCCTACTAAGCCGCATCAAGACTCCCACTCTGTCCTCAACAGGCGGGCTCAAAAGATCCTCTGCGGATGTCGTCACTTCGCTCTTTGGCTCTCCCCGAAGCTCTAAGTTCAGCTATGAACACACCTCTGCGCCTCCTCCAGGCTTGCCGCCCCAGCCGCCGGCGCTGCAGTACCAAACTCGTTCGGCAACACGAACGGTCTATTCCGAAAGCCTTCGGCACCATCCTATGCGCGTGACACTCGTGGCAGAGTATTCGACAACACTGCTACTCGGCCTGGAGGGCTACCTCCTGTGAGAGGTGGCCCTAGTTTATCCGCTGATGATCTGAATCGGTCCCCCGAGACGCGTGGAAGGGTGCGCCATTGGCGTATCATGTCATTGCGACTGTAACACATGCATTAAATCGTATCTCGGTGGCTACATTCTTGCTGGATGGGAAAAGCGGCCATCGTTCCTCCACATTGGGAAAATGCTACTCTTCCACCCGATTAATTGATGATGGCATGATCATTGAGAGCCTTCCTGTCAGGAGAGTACTCCGTGCGGAACCTTATTCTCTCGATGTCATTTTAATTTGCCGACTTCTCACATTCCTCCTTCGCGCCACACCTGCAGTTTTTGGCAATGCAGCCGGTCTCGGTCACCTCTGTTTAGCACGATTTCCATATAATGCTGTCAATGTCATTCCCGTAGCTAGCGACGACACAGCCACTCCATTCTTGGGGCCGGTGATTGGGCAACTTGTTTCAACGCTTTCCACTCATACCCGTATTTGCTCGCTCTTCGTTACTGTACTCAAGCTTCCAATATGGTTTACCGCTTGAAGATTCATAAGAACACCTCAACTCGACTCTTCAACGCTTCCAAGTTTGTATACGTTATTATTGAAAATTTTTTTATCTTAACATTCTGACTGCTCCAGCCGGATGGGCACTTATAGCGTGATTCATCCTGCGCAGAGGACCTCTGGTGCGCCTCACACAGCTACCACATTTGCGGTAGTATTGCAAGTTCTAGAAACCACCATCGCAGAGGATGTCACTTCTGTGCATTGGCAATTGGTGCACAGGTGTTGTGTTTGGCTTGTGTTTACGCACACTGTGCCCAACGGCAACATGCCTTCAGCGGTTCTACCCCCGACTCGTTGTTTACCCATTATATCCTCTGTTCAAGTGCAAGTCAACCAAGAGGTTGGAGTCAATGAACTACAATGGGTGGCTACTTTTTCTTCCTCACCTTCTGGGCCCTCCATTTGGAGCACCCCCGACTATGCGCTTGTCCAGGGATGAGGGGCCATCGATGACTTCCGCAGCGCAGCGTCCCCTGAGAAGAGATCGAGGGTGATGTTGGCCTCGGTTGGCCGGTGGGTTGGTCGCATAGGGGGTCTTTGAGTTATGGTTTGGAGATGAGCGCGCACCTAGCATTTCTTGATCACTGTCGCATTAAATAAGGCAAAGGCCAAAGAGATGTGTATTGAGAGATAATTCTCAAATGTACGCTAGCTATGGTGAAACATTTCTTGAGATGGCAATCAAAACGGGGGAGGCGTCATGGATGGTTCAAAATGAACGTTCATACCACGCAAGTCAGCTGAAGAACAGTAGGAACCGGAGAAGCAATACGGGAATCCAGAGCCCCATACAAGCCAACCGGGCGATGACGTACAGACAAGATCTATCTCCAAAACTTTCTAACCTGACTAGCAGTGAATCCGGGTTGCCCCTAACGCGCCTCTTACTGGGCCCGATGTGAGATCGCGCACGGGGACAACAGCGATGCATTTATCATCCTGGGGTAAGTTGATGATGTATGCAATCTCAGCGAGTGACTGGACGACAGTTCTAGACCAGAGAATAATAACAGCACTTTGTTGGACAGCTATAGAGACGATGAAATGGCGACGTGAGAGGGGTGCGACACCTATGGGAAGGGATTTGATCAAGAAAGAAGAGAGCTTCTAGACGGTATGGGCGTCCCTAAAGCCCAAAGTGGCAATGAATCCTGCTTTGTCATCTGGCCGATATGTCAAGGCTTGGATGAGGTATCGCCGCCCACAGAAGGTGGATGTGGACCATCGACCAAGAGTTTGAGGGTCAAAGCACCTGGATGCCGTTCAAGAGATTGGAGTGTTGAGAGAATAATAGTTCTTCAGGATTAGGAGAAGCATGAAGCAATGCGATGCATGGCTTGATAATCGCTTTACCTCGAAGAACGGCGTCAGAAATCTATGTAGCATGAGGTTCACGGCATGGCTCAGCCTCAGACATCCACTGTCGGGGAGAAAAGGTACTTAACTGCTGTTAGAAGTTGCAGCCCAACGCCACTGGTGGTCAAGGGAATCACCCGGGCCGGACATTCACGCTTTGGGAAGGGGAGGGGCGCTTTGAGGCGCGAACGCGCTTTGACTCTTTGTCTTCACGCTTTTGTTTTCCTTTTGTTGTCTACCACTCATGTTTCAGCTCAGTGGCGTAGAATCATTACAAGATGTATATAAGGACCGGACTTGCGCTAGCAGTTGATACCTCACTAATCGAGGTATCGTGCTGCGCAGTTGTTACAGGTTATCAGCCCAGTCCTACTCCACCGCTTTACGTAGTCGTTCGGCACTGTTGAACTTTGCTCAGAAAGGAGCTGTCTTGTTCTGAATCGCCGTTACCCCCCCTGTTCTGGATCAGACCCGAAGAACATACCATGCCTCTGAAAGACTCAACCATCGATAAGGCCGTCCTTGCTATTGCTAAGCTGAAGGGATGTGATGACTGGAATAGGTGGTCTATAAACCTCCGATTCGCGATGGGACACACCTGGGGCTACCTAGATGGAAGTCGGATTGAACCATCTGATAAAACAACGCCTGAACATGCAGAATGGGCTGAAGGAGAAAATAACACTCGCCGAAGACTATGGCTATCCCTCAGCGACTTGGTCCAAGACAATATTTTCCATCACTCCGAAAGTCCTGCAGCAACGCTATTTGATGCCTTGAAAAGTGCCTACCAGCAGACCGGTGCCTCCGCTGAATACTATGCCAGAACTAAGTATGGTGAGGCAAAGATCAGTGACTACGAATCCATCTTGGACTTCCTATCTGGTCTTATGAACCTTGCTCACGAAGTAAATAAACAAGTTCCCAGCAATCAAGGATGGATCGAAGATCAAATGGTTGCCATGCAGCTCATCCATTCTCTCCCATCTTGCATGAGCACCCTGCAGACCATGCTCATCCAGAATGCTCCAGCGGCAACCAAGGACATGAGCTGGGATCTTGATAAGTTGAGGAGAGAAGTGGAAACTGAGGAGCTACACGCCCGAGCCAATGGAATGGACCTTGGGACAAAGACTGGATTCTCGCCCACACCAAAGGCTCTTGCTGTGGAAGGCAACACAAAAGGAAGGAGGAATGATCCACCTGGTTAACGCGCAAGACATGCTGGGATTGTGGAAAGATGGGTCACCTTCACACGAAATGCACAGCGATGGAAGCTGAGAAGGAGGCCTACCAACAGAGGAAGGCTGCTGAAAAAGGAAATGTGAATGCTACCAAGGATTCCGAGGAAAGGGTCTTCTATGCAGAGTGTGTCATGAACGCCGCATTGACCACTGTCAGGGACAGCTCCGAAAGCGGCAAAGTCCCGGTGCGAGGGACCCGATGGGACAGATGTCAGCTGTGCGTAGTGGTGATCCCGTCATGGGGGAGCGTCCCTGACCACTTAGTCTGAAGTGGGAAGTTGAGAAGAAGGCTGCTTCTTCTGTTCCCACCCCAGGTGCCATTATATACATGCGGTCAGGGTCACGTGGGGGGAGCCATGTCATCTCCGCACACAGCCGGACCTCTCTGGGTGTCTCCGCTGGAGATCCCGAAGGTGTGCCGCTCTGTAGGCGGGAATGCGTGCGGCAGGTGCAGCGATTGGGGGAGTGGTGAAGGAGAGAACAAAGGAAGGTCAGTTGGGAGGTTCAAACGAGACCACCACCAAGCTGTTCCCTGGTTCTTTAGTTAGGATGGGGAAGTGTACTAGTAATATTTGTTGTAATTATAGTACCAATCCGAGTGTTTTGGCTAATTCTATTTTATGGGTTAGTCTAAAAGTTTCTGAGAATTGACTTACAGATAAACCGAGCCCTGTGGAGCTGTTCCTCTATTGTAATTTCTCAATTTGTCCGGGTGTAATTCTGTGTAGAGTTGTTTAAAATGGATTTTAACTTGAATTAAATCTTCTACTTAGTGAAGTTTCAAAGATTCTACTCAGTTAATGGGTTTAGATTGTGTCTGAAGTGTCCCTTGAGTTTGTTTTATTTTTGTCTTATTTTATTGCTTGTTTTAACAGTAGCAAAATAACTGTTTTGTGTTTACACTTTGAATTCTGGAGTGTTAACCAGCTCTCCTGTTGAAATATTTACTTAATATTTCTCTCCCTGATTGCTGCCTTTTACTACAGTGGCAATTTTAACTGTATATCACTTTTTCGCACTGGAGTGACAACCAGAAATGCTTGAGAAAAATAATACTCTATTTTCTTACTTCTCTGAGGGGGGTGAAAAGTTGCAGAAAGGGTCTCCCTTTTATACTCCTTGGGTTGCCTTCCTTTTTCACGCTCTACCTCGTATTTACAGGATTTATTTACAGTGTATTTTCCTCAAACTGAATAAAAAATGAAAATTTCATGCTATAGTTCTACTGCGCTCTGCTGCACTGAACTGTGGCTCTACTGCGGTCAGACTGCACCTAGAATCCTTATTGTCCTTCCTCGCCTAAGCTATTTTAATGGTTCAAGTAGAACTTGACTGCACTGGATTTGCTGCAGTTTCCTATTTCAAATTCCTCATATTTACCATTAAGTTCACTATGACTCGGTCATTCTGAATTCAAACCTTGCATGACTATGTGTACGGCTGCGCTGAGACCTTCAGCTGATTTATTCTATTTTTATCCAGTAACATTTAGTTGAAATGAGACTTGAAATGATAAATGAGTGAATTATTCAGGTTTAGAACCAAAAGAAAAAGTTGCTAGTAGTAAAGAATTGTTCAAACGAATGTGTTATAGCTCTCTGCTTTATTAGAATATTATTCCCTAAAATTCCTGCCATGGTCCGTCATAGTTTAGTGGTTTTCGTGGATTTCGTCCTTCTCCCCTGATTCCTCTTTGTATTATTGCATCCTAGTCCTTCGTATGTATTGTTCGTTGTTATAATAGGTCGTCCTCGAAGATATCATATTTTTATGTATTTTATTTGGGGCTCTGGACCTCTAGAAGCTGTCTTCCCATGTGTTTTCAGGTTTCTAACTTCCAGTCCTTGTATCTCATTCATTTCTGAATGGTTTTTCGCTTTCTCAGTATCATAAATTTTCATTTATTCCCACCTTTCCAATGGTACTAAAGTTGTATCCTATTTCTTGGTATCCGTCGAGTTAGCAAAAGTTCGTGTGCACATTCAGTAATCACATGCATCGTTCCCGTAGTCGTTCATATGTGGGCGCTGTTTCTGTTTAATTGTTCGGGATTTATGGTATATGTGGGTGTTTGTATCCTTCATATGGGCTTCTGTGATTTATTTCAGATTTTTCCCTCATGATCTAAGGTTGTTTTGTACTTTCCGTGCTTTGTTTTGACTGGGGTCTTCCTTATTTAGATGGAAATTGGTCTTCGCAATCTGCCGAAGTGCGGATCTTGGTTCCAACAGCCGGTTCCCTTCATATCGCCACCCTCACGTGTCTTTAAACATGATGTGGATTTCTATATTCCCGTCATTGGTATAACTTCACAACGGCTGGACCGTTTGAGCTGAAACTTTGCATAACTATAGTTTCCTATTTATCATAATTTCCGTGTAAATTTCGTAGTGTGTTTTAAATATGGATCCTACGTAAACGTCATCTTTTCCCTGAGCCCAGGCTTTTGATGTCGCTCTTCCTGTTATTGGATATCTCATTGATGCATGATCCTTTTATTATGAAAATTTGGGTGGATTAAGATTAGATTCCTTCCTTTCTAATGAGCCATCAAGCTCATCTCGGTCGTTACTTCTTGTTCTTCGTGCTTGCCTTTTAAACGTTGTCCTCGTTTTCTGAGAGTTTTAGTCATACCTCCGTCATTTATGGGTAGTTTTCCCTGTAATTACTTTCATTGGATCCGTTTGAAAGACATCTACATTTCCTATTATAAACACGACTTTGAATTTTGCATTAGTTCCTAAGGAATCCTTGTTCTGTGGTACTTCCATCCTCGGCTGCGTGTCAGGGTTCAGCACCCTGCCCTAGGGTGCCCCAGACTCCCCAACCAATCCCTTCCTTCCATTCCTTCATTGTTGCCTTTCTGTGTTGTGTATCCGCGTGCATGGGTCACA